TCCCTGTTATTATTTTTTTTTTTTCATTTTCAAAACATTATTTTAGTATTATTTTTATAATTTGTGTGTGCGTGCGTGGGGTGGCGGAGGGATTTGTGGATTTGGTTGGAAAACTGCATATTAATTGCCCTTTTGTCAAATTTACTTGTGGTGACATTAATATTAGGATTTCAAAATTTGTGGAATATTCAGTGTGCCTGCAGGATAACAAAGACTTAGCTGGAAAACCAAGTTTTGAAAATACTTTGGGCATGAATCACTTGACTTGACCTATTTGTGGTGGGATTTTGGTAGTTTACTTTTCAGTCTATATCTCGCATCAGAGCTTGCAAAGTGGATGATAAAACTTGAATGCTGGCTTCATAGAAACATAATCCGTATCCGCAAAGAGTTGAAACTGAATATGTTTTGACTTTCTTTCTGCCTCGTATGAGAAAGGAAGAAAATTTAGTTCTAACATTTACATGGTAACCGTTACATGGGATATGTTTGAGATCTAAGGCTTAACAATGGAATTGCTATATAGGCTTTTGTTGTGCATTTGGCACGATACCTGCGTGAGCTGATTTAAATCTCTTGTTTATGTGGATATGGTTGATCTGTCTCTGAAAATTTGGTTTTACTCCAGATAGATCTGGCTAAACTAATGTGGGTTTTATTTTCGTAATAGAGCTTAAGATTGACTATTTAGCTGGAAAGATCAAATCTACATTGTGTCTTCAAAACTCATTAAGTGGACGTTGTTTACAGAGGCTAATCATTGATTGGATTATGTAAAATATTGGTTGAAACTTTTCACTTTTGGGCCAATAGCATGTTTGTACTTTTCAGTTGTCTATCAATTTATGATGCTCTGCTAGCTGCTTCGAATAGTATGAGACAGCCAAAATTCTCTTTCAAATTCTTCTGATGAATTGGACAAAGTGAAGTTACGAATTGGATTGAACCGACTAGCATGTTTTTGCACTTACTGCTGCAAATTTTGTCAAGAACAACATAGTAAGAAGGAGAATTTTATAGTAGATTTTGCGTAATCGTACTTTGAGTTTGAGCATATAGTGAGAAATTAAATACTAAACACGTGAACTATATGGCATTGCATGCGAACGTTATGTACTAATGTACTTTCTTTTTTTGCTTGTATCCTTTATGTATGCATCCGAGTTACATTTTCTATCAACAAAACCTTTGTTCTATTCATGTGTTGATAAACCTTTGTTCTAATACACGTGCTCTTTGTTCAGGGACTGTCAAAAATCATATCATCCCAGCTGCGTGAATAAGGACGAATCTTTTCTCGAAAGCGAAAAAGATTGGTATTGCCGTAAGTGGAAATCATATGCATAATTTAATAATGCATCTGGTTAAAACATCCGGATGTCTATGTTTCATATACACTTTTGACTTCGTAAATGCAGTTCTAACCCAGCATTCGCCTTTTTGTTATATTTTAAGCATTCAAGAGATAAATGTCCTTGTTTTCTTTTATGATTTTGACAAGGTGTGATAGCGTTCATTTACTTTTTTTTTTTTGGTTGGATATACAATGATTGATAAGCAGTTTGACAAGTTTTGGGATATGGATTTATTGATAACTACTAGGTGTGTTTAGTTGATATTGATGACAAAACTTAAATAGAGGTAAGATCGAACGTGTGCCTTGTGGTATAAACGAGGGTGGATACAAGAAGATGGATCATTAACCAAACTGTTTTCTATGATGTTCCTCTGTAGAGACTTTTTATGGAACACGATTGAAACTTAAATTATGAAACATGAAATTTAGAGATTAGAAACATATATACTAAAGCTAAACCATTGTCAAATGTAGTAGGAAATCGATAAACAAACATAGAAAGAAAATTCTTGACATTTTTTTTATTTTTATTTTTATTTTTACTTTCAACATTTTTTTTATTTGCTTTTTTCTTTTTAGTGTTCTCTTGACGTACAACAACAACAACAACATACCCAGTATATTCCCAACAGGTTGGGGTCTGGTGGGTCAGTTGTACGCAGACCTTATCCTTGTAATTATACAAGGAGGTTGTTTCTGTAGCGACCCAAGGTGCATCGCCGTTTGATATATATTTTTTTTTTCTAGAAACTTCACTAATAGAAGAAGCACTAGAATTTAATTGAGCCATTTTGATCTAGTCCATTATTAGCACTATGCCAGGAGAATTGTCAACAATGACTCTTCCAGCTCCATTTGCAATGGACAAGTGTTCTCCTGACGTAAATAAACAAAAACAGGAAGGTTTTTT